AACCGGGAGCACATTTTTCCTGATGTCATCCCAGCCCACTTGGCTCTCGGCTCCGCGCTGCTCCCGAATCCCGAAACATTTTTGGGTTTGTTCAGCTGCTGTTTTTGCTTTCTTGTGATTATCCTCTGTTTTCCCTTCTGTGGTGTTCATCCCCGCTGGTAATTACCCCCCTCTCCCTGCCAACTCTGTGAACTCCGGGGCTAATTTCAGCAGGAGAGTTCTGCCCGGCAATTTTACAAATATGAGGCGTTATTGAGGGTTTTTCCTGGACCGGTGATTACATGGAACGGGTACTTTGGATTCCTCTGCTCCCTCAGAGGGGTTGAGAGCTGGGTGAAGCTGGAATTAAAACCCAGTGGGGAAGGAGCAGCTCCTGTGCCCAGTGCTGGCTTCCATGGAATGGCTGAGGTTGGAAAAGCCCTCCGGGGTTGGATCCAGCTGTTCCACCGCTGTCCCCAAGTGCCACATCCACGGGGATGTGAAACCCCTCCAGGAACAGGCACTCCAAACCTCCCTGCGCACTTCCATGAAGGAATTTCCCCAAATATCCTAAACTTCCCCAAGGGGCCGCTTCCTCTGGTTCTCTCCCTCAAACTGTGGTAGAGGAGCGGCCCTAAAACACAAATCCCACCCAGAGTTTCAGCTGGGTAGCCCAGAAAACTCAGGATCTCGTGGAATATTCTCATCTCTGGAATATTCCGGGTCTGGTTGATGTGTTCATTTGGTTTTCTGCTTTTTTTTGGGTTTTTATCCAGAAGAAAACAGGATTCAGGCATGGAATTCAGAGGAGTAATGGATTATCTGGAGACCTGAGGAGCTGAATAGTCCTAAAGAGATGAAATGTGGGAAACTGGGTGGTCTGAGCTCCAACTGCCACGGACAGGAAGAAATATTTTCCATTTTGAGGAGAATGTAATGTGGGAGCAATGGGAATATCTGGGGAGATGAGGGAGGAATGCACTTGGGAGAAAGGGATGGAACTGGGAGGATGAAAAATGGGAGCAGGGTCACGAGAGGGGTGGTGGAGAGATGGAGTCCCAGATTCCTGGGAATTCAGGAACGGCTCAGGAACGAGAACGCTGGGAGCAGTGCCGTGCGGGGATGGCTTTGGTCACGTTGGCAGGTCCCTGCGCCATAAATTTTTGGGAAACTGCTAAAATGTGAATAGGATTCTCTGATTATTTTTTTTTAATTTTTGTTTTTTTGGGAATGGTTCCAAAGGCCTCTGCTGCTCCTTCCCTTGTGCTGCAGTTCAGCTGTTGGGTTGGAGGGAGGAGGTGGCATCCAGAACCTTCCGAGGCTGAGGAGAATCCAGCCAAGGATGGGAGTTGGGGCTTTCCTGTGGCATTCCCAGCCCAGCTCCCATCACTTCTGCTTCCCCTGCCTGTGGAAAACACCTTTTTTCCCTGGAAGTGATTCCGAAGTAATTTTAATTTCCTCAGATTGTGATGAAGGTGCTCTGGGTGCTTCACCTCCCTCAAAGGCGCTGGTGAAGCAGGGCTGGAGACGCGGCCTGGGCCTTGTCCCCGTGGGAAGGGAATTTGTCCCGTGGGGATTGGGAATTTTGGTTCCTGCGCTTCCCTGACCCCCAGGACCTGGGGAGCTCCCCCATCCTGTGGTGATCCTGAGGAGCTGGTGGGGAAAATTCCCCAGAGGAATGGTGGGGAGCTGCTGGAATAAATCCAGAGGAGGCCCCGGAGCTGCTCCAGGGTTCTGGAGCCCCTCTGCTCTGGAGCCAGGCTGGGAGAGCTGGCCACCACAAAACAGTGGAGAAACGGCAGCTCCTGCGAGTTCAGTGATGCATTAATGACTCATTAGTTTCTCATTAATTTCTCATTAGTTTCTCATTAATTTCCAGTGGATGTTGCGTGAAACTGCGTGAGGTGTTTGGTGGGAGTGTCCACCCGTGGCGGTGGGGGGACCTCGGCCTCGCTCTGCTCCCGCCTCTGAGGGTGCCACATGTTCATCACTTAAAGAAATGGTCAAAAAAACCCCTTTTGGTTTAAAATCAGCCCCAAAATGCAATTATTTAATTAATGCAATGCATTATTTAATGAATCCCCTCCAGCTTAACGAGTGGCTTCGCCCCAAGGCGTCAGTGCTGGGGCTGGTGAGGATGGAGGTGAGCAGGGGTGTTCGTGCTCCTTGTGGAGCTCTGGAGAGACAAGGCCCAGCAGAATTTAATAAATCCCTTTAGTCCAATCCCCTCAGTGGTGAAAAAACCCTTTTCCTTGGTTTTCCCGTGGTGGAGAGGAGCTGGAGAACTCCAGGATCCTGAGAATCACCAAGTTCAGGCCTTGGAGAGGGCCTCAAAGGGAAGTCACTGCTCCCTGCTCCGAATTTATCACTTAATAACTTCAAGCATCACCTGATTTTATCTCTTGGTTTGATGAAACCTGTATTAATCCTCCTTTTTCTGGGTCTCACCTCTAGATCCTTGATTTCTGCCTTGGGATCCTTCCCTTTCCTGAGGGAAACAGCTTTTGGGGAGCCCTGACAGGGAGATGTTGGTTCACAGTTTCCGTTTCTAAATTGTCTCCTAAAATATCAAATTCCTTATAGATTGAAGCTGATGCTGAACCTGATTCCAGGAAAAAGCTGGGATTTATGATCCAGGTGTCCTGGATGTGCCCAGCATGGATCAGGAGCTGCTCATCCCGAGCCCCCTGAGACTGGGCCAGGACAAAAAGCAGAACTCCAGGACAAAATCCACCTTAGAAATCCCCACGTTCCTTTGGAGTGCTCGTGCACAGTGGCAGGGAGGGCTTGGGCATGGATTTGAGGACCTGAAAAGGTTTTTTGGATGGATTTTAGGAGCTAAGAAGGTTTTGAGGATAGATTTGAGCACCTGAAAAGGTTTTTTGGATGGATTTTAGGAGCTAAGAAGGCTTTGGGGGGGTGGATTTTAGGACCCATGAAGGTTTTGGGGATGAATTTGAGCACCTAAAAAGATTTTGGAGATGGATTTTGGGACCTGAAAATGTTTTGGGGATGGATTTTGGAACCTAAGAAGGTTCTGGGGATGGATTTTAGGACCTAAAGTTTTTTAGATGGATTTGAGCACCAGAAAATGTTTTTAGGGTTGGATTTTAGGACCTAAGAAGGTTTTTGGGATGGATTTGAGCACCTGAAAAGGTTTTGGGGATGGATCTGAGCACCTGAAAAGACTTTTTGGATGGATCTGAGGACCTGAAAAGATTTTTTAGATGGATTTAAGCACCTAAAATGTTTATTTTGGATGGATTTTGACACCTTTGTGAAGGGCAGAATTAGGTGGGAGAGCTCTGGGCACATCCCTGGGCTGATTCCTGCCAGAGCCTGGAGCTGCACTTGGGAAAAACAAGGAGCAAGTCAGGCTATGGCTCCTCACAAGCCCTCAGCAGCCTGGTTGTGTAATGCCACAACAGCTGGAGAATCATTAAATTACCATCAGGTTTTGCTTTTAATTAATTTATTTTCTGGAGAGGAGCAGGTTGACAGCTGGTGCCTCGCTCAGGTGATATTTGTTGCTGCATGTTGTTTGTTTTGTGAATGCTAAATGAGGTGGAGTCGGGTTGGGTTTTTTGGGATTTGTTTTGTTGTTTTTGGGGTTTTTTTTCTCTCTCTCTCTCTCTCTCCCTCCTTTGGCTCCCAACAGTTCAAAGCAAGACGTTGTCCCTTCCCTGAGATGTTTGTGATCGGATTTCAGACAGAAAACAGGGCGGGTGTGGAGGAGGGAGCAGCGGGCAGGGATGAAACACGCGGGGTTGGATGGCCCGGGGCGGGGGGCCAGCGTTCCGCAGCAGATCCTTGGATTCTCCAGGATTGTGATGCTGAGGTGGGGCCTGGTCTGGAGCAAAAACCACCCCAGAGCCCAGCCCAGGGGTGATGCCTACAGAAAGGTTTGGGGATGGGAATGCTCTGGGCACTCCAGGGTGGGAGAAGTGAGCTCTGGAGCTGTCCGTGGAGCGCTGTACCCCACATTCCAGACTTCTGGAATCCACAGAACCCCAGGAGGGCTCGCTTGGAGGGACCTTTAGAGCCCATCTGTGGATTGGGAATCTTCAGCTATTCCAGGGAGCTCTGAGCCTTGTCCAAGCTGGACTTTAATCCCCCCAGTTTGTGTCTTTGGTGTCCTTTGGTGCCTCCCTCTCTTTGCTGACACCATCACTGTTGATCTATGGATCAATAAATAGATCCATGGATCAATAAATCCGATTTTTGCCCAGATTATGGCCCAGAGAGCAGCTGGGCACAGCCCCATGCCCCACATCTGCCCAGCGTTCCTGTGCCCGAGCACTGGGGGCTGGCCTTGGTCTTTGCACACAAACTCTTCATTCTCTGATACCTGGACGGGATTTTGGAGGAAAGTTCCACATTTGTGCTGGAGGAACATGAGCTGGGACACGGAATGTTCTGGCTCTGGGGTGGCAGCAGGGCCAGGGCAGTGCCTGTCCCCTGTTCTGGGGCACCTCCAGTGCTGGGACAGATCTGGAGAGCCCTGGAGGGGCTGGAGCGTGGCCAGGGAAGGGAACGGAGCTGGGAATGGGCTGGAGAATTGCTGAGGGAGCTGGGAAGGGGCTGGAGAATTGCTGAGGGAGCTGGGAAGGGGCTGGAGAATTGCTGAGGGAGCTGGGAAGGGGCTCAGGCTGGAGCAAAGGATGCTCAGGGGGAATTTCTGGCTCTGCACAAGTCCCTGGCAGGAGGGGACAGCCGGGGGGGATTTGGGATCTGCTCGAAGGGAACAGGGACAGGAGGAGAGGGAACGGCCTCAGGGGAGCTCAGGGTGAATATTTGGAATATTCCTACATGGAAAGGAATCTGGAATTGCCCAGGGAGGTTTGGAGTGCCCATCCCTGGAGGATTCCAAAGCTCCTGGATGTGGCCCTTGGGGACGGGCAGTGCAATGGCCTCGCTGTTCTCAGAGGGCTTTTCCAACCTCAGCTATTCCATGATTTATATTCCAAGTGACCTCTTCCCGCACATCCTGACGGCTGGAATGACCCTTTCCTGTTTTCCAGGGAGCCCGGGAGACCTTTGAGAGCTACTACAGGAAGCAGAGGAGAAAACAAGCTCGGCTGGTGCTGCAGCCTCCCTCCAACATGGTCAGTTCGTCCTGCCCTTCCCAGCCTGGAATGTCATCCCCGCTCTCCCACTGCCCCTGGCTCATCCCAAAAATCTCCCTTTCCCCTTGGCCACCTGGGTTTTAACCTCTGCTCCCTCCCTCTTTGTTGCAGCACGAAACTTTAGACGGCTACAGGAAGTATTTCAATCAAATTGTAGGGTAGGTGTTCCTTTTATACACGGCCCTGCTAAAAACGGGTGTCCTGGGATGCTGGGGAGCCCAGAAAAACCGGGAGAGGAGGGAATGTTGCTGTTTTTGGTGGTCCTTGAAGCCAAAACGGGACAGAAAAAGAGAAAAAAAAATGAAAAAAAACCCAAGGTGGTTTGTGCTTTTTAAGTGTTGCAAAGTGAATTTTATCCCCTTTGCTGTGTCACTGGGGGGAGCGGGGAGGGACCTGCTGGCAGCCTGGGAATTTCTGGGGATTTCTGGGAATTTCTGGGAATTTCTGGGAATTTCCAGGAGTTTCTGGGGATTTCTGGGAATTTCTGGGAATTTCTGGAGATTTCTGGGGATTTCTGGGAATTTCTAGGAATTTCTGTGAATTTCTGGGAGTTTCTAGGAATTTCTGTGAATTTCTGGGAGTTTCTAGGAGTTTCTGTGAATTTCTGGGTGTTTCTGGGAGTTTCTGTGTATTTCTGGGAGTTTCTGGGAGTTTCTGTGAATTTCTGGGTGTTTCTGGGAATTTCTGGGTGTTTCTGGGAGTTTCTGGGAATTTCTGGGAATTTCTGGAGATTTCTGTGCATTTCTGGGGATGTCTGAGAATTTCTGTGATTTTCTGGGTGTTTCTGGGAGTTTCTGTGAATTTCTGGGGATTTCTGGGAATTTCTGGGGATTTGAGGGTAAACAATCCCTGTGGATTATGTGCATCTTCCTGCCCCTCTAATGCCATGAATGGGCCCTTCTGCCTCAGCGATTCAGCAGTATTGAATAATTATTCTTGAGTTATTTTCCTGCTGAAGGAGGTGATTCTCTGCTCCCCAGAGCTGCTGTTTGGTCACACTCAGATTTGACAAAAAAAATCTTCCAGAACTGAGCTCTGAGAGGAGAATTCCAAGGGTTGCTGATCCATAAAAACAGCAGGGGATTCGTTGTTTCTTCAGCTAATAATGAGAATTATTTCAATACTTAATTATGACCTCCAGGAATTCCACGTTCTCTGCTCCCCTCATGCAGCTCCCTGCTCCTGGGCTGGATTTCCTTGGATAAAATCAGCTGGAAATTGGTGTGACACCGATTAAAATGTCCAGTCTCACCTTCATTCCCTGGAAAACACTTCCTTTTGGAGCAGCAGAGTTGGGACCTGGAGATTGGAGTGGATTGATTGTCTGGGAATGGCTGGGAGCACGAGGTGGAGCTGGGTGGCAGGGAGGATTTTCCCTGCACTTCCAACATTTTTCCCTGTACTTAAAGCAGTTTTCCCTGCAGATAAAGTAGTTTTCCCTATGGATAAAGCAGTTTTCCCTGCAGTTCCAACATTTTCCCCTGCAGATAAACCATTTTTCCCTGTTCCCCTGCAGATAAACCATTTTTCCCTGTAGATAAATCAGTTTTCCTTGCAAATAAAGCACTTTTCCCTATGGATAAAGCAGTTTTCCCTATGGATAAATCAGTTTTCCCTGCAGATAAAGCATTTTTCCCTGCAGATAAAGCAGTTTTCCCTGCAGATAGTTTTCCCTGCAGTTCCAACATTTTTCCCTGTACTTAAAGCAGTTTTCCCTGCAGATAGTTTTCCCTGCAGTTCCAACATTTTTCCCTGTACTTAAAGCAGTTTTCCCTGTGAATAAAGCACTTTTCCCTGCAGATAAATCAGTTTTCCCTGCGGATAAAGCACTTTTCCCTGCAGATAAATCAGGTTTCCATGCAGATAAATCAGTTTTCCCTATGGATAAATCACTTTTCCCTGCAACCAGAGCATTTTCCCCAGTTGTGATGGGACGGCCTCTGGCTGGAGCAGAGTTTAACCCCTGGTTCTTGCAGGAAGAACGAGGTAGAGAACTGGTGGAGAGGGAATTCTGCCTTTGTGCACACACAGAATTCGCAGGGTTTCATCTCCTCCAACCCAGCACTGTCAAAAACCAGGGAACAAAACCTTTGGAGCCGCCTGGATTTGACAGATCCCCCAAATCCCAGCTGGCCCTGGGGGCTCCAGCTTTTCCTGTGCCAGAGCTGAGGTTTTGGGGGCATTTTGTGGCGTTTCAGGTTTTTTGTGGTGGAGGATCACATCCTGCACACGACCCAGGGCCTGGTGAACCGCGCCTACATTGATGAGCTGTGGGAGATGGCCCTGTCCAAAACCATCGCCGCCCTGAGGACTCACTCCGTGAGTAAAAGCCCGGCAGAGCTCAGCTGTTGCTTGACTGTCCTTGACGTGCTGCAGTTCTGCCCTTTTTTTTTTTTTTTTTTCCTTTGGGATTCTTTGTTTTCCCTCTTTTCCGATGAGTGTTTAAAGGAGCGACGCGGACACACGGAAAATTCACTTTCTCCAGCTTTTTTGGCCTCTTGGTTGGCAGAATTTCCCTTCCAAACTCGTTATTTGGGAGGGTAAAACAGTGCTTTTATATTTTCATCATTATTTCATTCATAATTTTTGAGGAGCACCAGCAGAGGGAGCGGATTTGTCCCAAAAAATGGGGGGAAAAGGATCTTTTTTGGCACATTGAGACATGGCCTTGTCCTATACAGGATCAGAGAATCCCAGAGTGGTTTGGGTTGGAAGGGAGCTTAAAGATCATCTCGGTCCCTTACATTTCATGGCTGCAAAATGGGCTGGAAAACCAAATCCAGGGAGAGAGAACCCCAGGAGCACCTGGGGTAAAAATGTGGAAAGAGATGGACACGAGCACCGGGCTGGGAGCATCCTGGTGCAGTGGGAGGAGATGGAACCGGCTGGGTTTGAAGGTTCTTTCCACCCCTCACCATTCCCTGCACCTGGATCTCCGTGGGATGAGGGATCCCAGGAGATTCCCGGTGTTCCCTCTCCCCATCCAAGTGACTGGAAAGTGGATTTGTCCCAAAAAATGGGGGGGAAAAGCATCTTTTTTTGGCACATTGAGACATGGCCTTGTTCAATACAGGATCAGCGAATCCCAGAGTGGTTTGGGTTGGAAGGGAGCTTAGAGATCAACCTGGTCCCTTAAATTTCATGGCTGGAAAATGGGCTGGAAAACCAAATCCAGGGAGAGAGAATGCCAGGAGCATTTTTGGGTGAAAATGTGGAAAGAGATGGACGCGAGCACCGGGCTGGGAGCATCTTGATGCAGTGGGAGGAGATGGAACCGGCTGGGTTTGAAGGCTCTTTCCACCCCAAACCATTCCCTGGACCTAAATCCCTGTGGAATGAGGGACCCCAGAGATTCCCAGTGTTCCCCCTCCCCATCTGAGTGACTGGAAAGTCGATTTGTCCCAAAAAAATGGGGGGAAAAGGATCTTTTTTGGCACATTGAGACATGGCCTTGTCCGTTACAGGATCAGAGAATCCCAGAGTGGTTTGGGTTGGAAAGGAGCTTAAAGATCATCTCGGTCCCTTACATTTCATGGCTGGAAAATGGGCTGGAAAACCAAATCCAGGGAGAGAGAATGCCAGGAGCACCTGGGGTGAAAATGTGGGAAGTGGACACGAGCATCGGGCTGGGAGCATCCTGGTGCAGGGGGAGGAGGTGGAACCGGCTGGGTTTGAAGGTTCTTTCCACCCCTCACCATTCCCTGCACCTGGATCTCCGTGGGATGAGGGACCCCAGGAGATTCCTGGTGTTCCCCATCGGGGTGACTGGAAATTTGCCTCCTTCCCATGAGCTGCTGTGCAGGCAGAGGGGATAAACACCAACCCCCACGGGGCTGCAAGCCTGTGTTTGTTTTCGTTTCGGGTGGGATTTTCTCAGGGCTGGGAGCAGGAGGCTGAGCCAGGCACGGGGTTTTTCGGTGTTCCCAGCTTTGTTGCCACTCGGGTTGTTTCAAGCGGTGCCAGAAGGAACGCGCTCAGCGGCTGCCGGGGGAGGCTCCTGCAGCACTCACCCAACATTCCGTGATTTCCCAACTCGCTCCAAGCGCTCCCAGTTAAACCAGTGCATCCCAAACTGGGATCTGAGGGAAAGCTCTCACCTTGCCAGGGCCATTTCCATTCTTCCGAGGCAGACAAATTTATCCCTGGATTTTCCTCCTCGCTGCAGACGGGGACATCTTTAATCACTTGCGATGCTTCAGGGCATTATCTTTCTTCCCGACTCTCCTTTTTGGACAGGGAGATGGAAAACGTGTGTCTCCCAGTCCTTCCCGCTGATTAATGGGGTCGTTCCTCCTGGAGTTTCCAGCGAGCTTTAAATCCCGCTCTCGTTCCAGCCTGGGATCGCTGATTCTATATTTGGGCAGGCTCTGTCTCAAACTTCACATTTTTCAGCACGGGGAGGGTTTTTTTGGCTGCTCCTGGGAAGCCTGGGGGGGACTGGGGCGGCTCTGGGACACGGGGTTGTGTCTGGGGGGTTTGGAGCGGGATAAATTCCTGCTCTGGAGCTGGAATCCAGCGTGTTTGCCCTCGGCCCAGGCTGTGGATGCCTGGCTGAGATGCTTCATTACCGTCAGACACAACACGGTAAATATTAGATGAGAGGCACTGTCCCTGTCCCGGCGCTGTGGGATCCGGCTCCTGTGGGGTCTCAGGCACACCTCGGGTATCTCTGGGGCAGCCCAAAGCCCTCCCCAGCCCAGGGAACCGCAGCACCCTGAGCAGCCAGCCCAAAGCCTTCCCCAGCCTGGGGAACTGAGGCACACTGAGCAGCCCAGCCCAAAGCCTTCCCCAGCCTGGGGAACTGAGGCACACTGAGCAGCCCAAAGCCTTCCCCAGCCTGGGGAACTGAGGCACCCTGAGCAGCCCAAAGCCTTCCCCTGCCTGGGGAGCTGAGGCACCCTGAGCAGCCCAAAGCCTTCCCCAGCCTGGGGAGCCGCAGCACCCTGAGCAGCCCAAAGCCTTCCCCAGCCTGGGGAACTGAGGCACCCTGAGCAGCCCAAAGCCTTCCCCAGCCTGGGGAGCCGCGGCACCCTGAGCAGCCCAGCCCTCACAATCCTCACGGGGTGAAGCTGCTGGTTCTGGGCCGGGCTCTGTGCCGGGCCACGCGGTCACAGCTCTTCTTCTCTGCCCTCCTCTCCAGTCCTACTGCTCCGACCCCAGCCTGGTGTTGGACCTGAAGAACCTCATCGTGCTCTTCGCCGACACACTCCAGGTACGCAGGGCTCGGGCCTCTCCTTGTCCGGTGCCGCTCCAGCGGGGCTGAGCCGGGCTGGCCAAGCTCTGATTTTGGCATTTCTGGGTGAGGATCACCTGAGGGACACCCTGCTTGGCTCTGCTGATCCAGGCTGGCCAAGCTCTCATTTTGGCATTTCTGGGCTGCAATCACCTGAGGGACACCCTGCTTGGCTCTCCTGATCCAAGCTGGCCAATTTTGGCATTTCTGGGTGCCAATGTGTAAAAAAAGTGTACTACAATGCTGCTTCAGCACTTCTTGTTTCAATCAGAAGTGTGCACATTTCCTGATCAGCTCTGCTTTGGGTTAAACCTCAGACCACCTTGGAAAGCATTTGCTTTTGGATAATGCTGTATTTGAAAATGTCCTTTATCCACTCATGGCTGTTCAGCTCATGGAACCAGGCTAGAGCTAGCTGAAAGGAGAAAGCCACCATCCCTTTGGCTTCTCTGCACAACCTGGTCACTCTGGTAACAATTCCCTGTCACCTGAGGGACACCCTGCTTGGCTCTGCTGAACCAGGCTGGCCAAGCTCTAATTTTGGTATTTCTGGGTGATGATCACCTGAGGGACAGCCTGATGGCTCTGCTGATCCAGGCTGGCCAAGCTCTGATTTTGGTATTTCTGGGTGAGGATCACCTGAGGGACACCCTGATGGCTCTGCTAATCCAGGCTGGCCAAGCTCTGATTTTGGTATTTCTGGGTGAGGATCACCTGAGGGACAGCCTGGCTCTGTGCAAGGAGCAGGCCTCGGCCGCCTCACGCAGGCCTCGGGCGGCTCTGGGGGCTTCTCTCCGGCTCAGTCGCCCCCTGAACCCCTCCAGCAGCACCAGGGGCGGTGCTGGGGGAGGATTTTCCCCTGTTCAGGACAGACAATTTCCAGCTGCCCACTGGAGGCTTCATTCCCTTCCCTCCCGTCGCACAGGGCTACGGCTTCCCCGTGAACCAGCTCTTCGACATGCTGCTGGAGATCCAGGACCAGTACAGCGAGACCCTGCTGAAGAAATGGGCAGGAGTGTTCAGGTGAGAGGCTCTGGAGGAAGCACCTGAGAGCTCTCACTGAGGAGTTTTGGGCCCTGAGTGGAAGATTTTTTAGGGATTAATTATGGAATCAGGGAATGGTTGGGTGGGAAGGGGCCTTAAAGCCCATCCAGTGTCACCCCTGCCATGGAGCTGCTGGAGAGAGTCCAGAGGAGGCCCCGGAGCTGCTCCAGGGCTGGAGCCCCTCTGCTCTGGAGCCAGGCTGGGAGAGCTGGGAATGTTCCCCTGGAGAAGGGCAAAATGCAGGGAATGCTGAGAGTCCCTGCAGGGGCTCCAGGAGAGCTGGAGAGGGACTGGGGCCAAGGGCTGCAGGGCCAGGAGCCAGGGAATGGCTTCCAGTGGGAAAGGGGAGATTGGGCTGGGATCTTGGCAAGGAATTCCTGCCTGGGCTGCAATTCCCACATTTGCTGGGGCTGCCCCTGGATCCCTGGGAATGCCCAAAGCCAGGTTGGACACTGGGGCTGGATCCAGCTGGGACAGTGGGAGCTGCCCCTGTGGCACTGGATGGGATTTAGGATCCCTTCCCGCCCAACCCATTCCATGATTCTGTGTCCTTGCTCCATCACCGAGCTGTGGCCACTTCGGGATACCCCTGGCTGCTGCTGCAGGAATTTGGGATCACCCCTTGGCCTGGCACCAGCCTCCGGGGGAATGTCCTGACCCAGCAGGAAAACTTTCCCCTCACAGTCGTCCCCCCAACTCTTCTTTCCCCAGAAACATCCTTGACTCAGACAACTACAGCCCCATCCCGGTGTCAAATGAAGAAGTTTATAAGAAAATCGTTGGACAGTTCCCATTCCAGGATGCTGAACTTGAAAAGGTGAATTTTGGAATGGGGAGAGAGGCCTGGCCTGGCTGCTGGGGCAGGAGAGCCTCACAGCCTTTGTGGGCATTGAAAGGATGAAAACACAAACCCCAAATCATCCCCCCAGTCCAAATAAACGTTAAAAGAGAAAGGAAAACAATGGGAAAGAACAAATATTCCTCCCATGGGATGCATTTCTCCTGGTGTGGATACGGGAAGTGTGATTTGTGTTCCTCTCAGAGTGTTCACAGGTAGAAATATCCACTTCCACTGGCATTTTGTTCCCGTATTATGGACCCTGGGATTGGCCTTTATTTGTTTCAGTCTCATATTTAGAGAAAAAGAGCCCAAAAAAGTGGTGGATCTTGGCCTTTACATGAGCTTGGAAAACCCAAGTGTGTCCTGGTGTTCCCTAAATCCTGCAGGCAGCAAATCCAACCCCGATGATCCCAGTCAAGGGCTCTGATTTCTGTGTCCTGCCCCAAAATTCAGTCCTGGGCTTCAGCTTTGAGCTCTGGGGGTGAAAGCTGGGAAAATCTGGTGTTGGAAAATCCGTTTCCTCCTGGTTTGGGGGGTTGTTGGGCAGCGCCAGGAGGAGGTGACCGGGAAAACGCCTTGTGCACGGTGTGGGAGGAATTCCAGGTATTCCCAAGGAGGGAGAGGAAGGGAGCTGGGAGAGGGAATGAGGGGATGGCCCCAAACCCCACCTGGCTCCAGGTGCCATTTGTGATTATCTGCTCCCCTTGGCCGAAGTGTTCATAAAATCCAGGACAAACCCCAGAATTCCTTTGCCCGCCTGGATCTCGCTGCTGTCCCTGCCCTCCCTCTGGAATTCCCTCCCGTGTTTTCCAGCAACCCTTCCCAAAGAAGTTCCCCTTCTCGGAGTTCGTGCCCAAGGTCTACAGCCAGATCAAGGAGTTCATCTACGCCTGCCTCAAGTTCTCTGAAGACCTTCACCTCAGGTGGGAAAGGTTGGCACTGGGAGAGCTCAGCTGGCTCCAGACATGGATTCTGTCCCTTTGGAAGTGGCCCTGGAGCAGTGGGGCCTCTCCTGGAGGGGGCAATCCCAGGATGGTTTGGGTTGGAAGGAGCTTTGGGGGTCACCTGGTGCCAGCCCATCACAGGGACACCTCCCACCATGCTCCAAGCCTCCTCCAGCCCGGCCTTGGGCACTTCCAGGGAATTCTGGGCTCCCAAGACAATCCCAGTTGTGTGAGGAGGGAGGGGCTGCTTCCTCCCAGGTGCTTCTGCAGCGTTATTTTAATAAATAGATGAACCTGGGTGTCTGGAGAAAGGCTGCGATGGCCACTTGTCACCAGGGCCTGCTGCCTGACCCCACCAGCCTCCCCTCCCTGCTCCCCAAGGAGTGGGAATCCTGTGGTTCCATGAAAGCCTTGTCAGGAAGACTCTGAGGGTTGGATTTTTGGTCAGGAACGAGTTTCAGCTGCTCCTTTCGTGCTTTTGTTTTTCTTGTTCCTTCAGGGAGTTTATATACAAATAATGTGATTTTTTTTTTATTTTTTTTTTTTTAAAGCCTGCAAATATTCCATGTGTTTACTCTCCCTGCTCCATCCTGAGGTGCTTTGAGGCTCGTTTCACCCATGTGTACGTGTGTGAGACTGAAGAGCAGCGGGCTCTGCCAGGAGCTGGAGCTGAGGCTTTGCTTTTGCAGCAGCAGCGTGAGCAGCTCAGGAGAGGCTGAGGAGTGAGGGACAGGAGTCTGCCTGGGAGGATCCATCCTCCTTCCCTTCCCTGGAAAAACAGGAGGCTGGATTGGGGATTGGGAAGTTCCAGCTCCTTGGGAGCTTTGTATCCCGGCCATGACCTGACCCTGGAGCTGCTGGAGTAAATCCAGAGGAGGCCCCGGAGCTGCTCCAGGGCTGGAGCCCCTCTGCTCTGAAGCCAGGCTGAGAGAGCTGGGAATGTTCCCCTGGAGAAGGGCAAAATGCAGGGAATGCTGAGAGTCCCTGCAGGGGCTCCAGGAGAGCTGGAGAGGGACTGGGGCCAAGGGCTGCAGGGCCAGGAGCCAGGGAATGGCTTCCAGTGGGAAAGGGGAGATTGGGCTGGGATCTTGGCAAGGAATTCCTGCCTGGGCTGCAATTCCCAGATTTCCCATGGCTGTCCCTGGATCCCTGGGAATGCCCAAGGCCGGGCTGGACATTGGGATTGGATCTCAATGGGATATTGGGAGCAGTTCCTGCCCATGGAATGGGATGGGGATGAGGACAGGGATGGGATTTAGGGTCCCTTCCCACCCAACCTATTCCATGCCTGCCCCATTGGGACAGCTCCGGGGGCTCAGCAGCCCTTCCGGCATCTGCCCCAGGCTCTCCTGGATTTCCCTGCTCTCCTTGGAGCCAGGAATGCCGATTTGGAGAAGCATTTTCCCTGCAGGTCCCTGCTTGGTTTGGGAGCTGAGGAGTTTCTCCTCAGCTCCTCTCTGGTGGCTCCCATGGCCACCGTGGCCCCTCTCCCTTTCCAGAGCCCATTCCCGGTTGCAGCTCCGGCAGCGCTCCCTCCAGAGCTTCCCCATCCCAGGATGATTTGCTTTGGCAGGACAGGGAGCAGAAGTGTCCCCGTGGGTCCCTCCCGGGGCTCCCTCCGCACCCCTCATTAAAATTCCTTTCCACATTGGATTCTCCAGCCCTTTCGGAGCAGCGGGGGGAGGGGATCCCCGCTCCGGCTCTCGGAGCCAAACATTTGGAATATTTCTCTGCAAACCCCTGTTGACACTTTCTTCATTTCACCCTGACAGCTTGAATTAGGTTTTATTAGGAAGCTTGGCTACAAAGCCGCCAGCGAGTTCCCTTTTCTCTTCCCTTTCTTTTTTTCCCTGGCCCTGTCATTTACGGAGCACCCCGGAGTGCTGGGGGTCAGCCCGTCAGTCACGGGGGCCTGGAGGTCACTGCAGCTGCCACGGGATCCGGGACAGGAGCTGTCATTATCCCAGACAGTTCCCTTCCAGCCTTTTCCTGCACAGCACAGCCCACGGCCCAAAGCGCGCCTCTTGCTTTTTTTTATTTATTTTTTTCTTTTTTCCCCCTAATTATTTTGTTAAAGCAGCTCCTTGTGTTTGTTGGATGGGAGGGTTCTCCTTTATGTGGGATTTGCTTCACTTGAGGGAAGCTCTGAGTGGGTTTGTAGGGCTTGGAGTTTTTATTATTTGCTCTATTAATTGGATTAGAGCAGGAAAATTCCCTTTATCTCCCTTTATCTCCTCAGCACTTTTGCCCTTTTACAAGCTGAGTTCATCAGGTTGCCTTTAAAAGTATCCCCTGGCTTTTCCCAGTGGGATTTCCCATGGGACAAGAGGGAATATCTTTGGGAAACGGTGAAGGATGAGATGGATCACCTCTAATCCACCAAGATTTGGGTTGGGATTGGGGATTTTCTGCAAACGAAGCCCCACTCCTGCAAAAACTTGGGATACAAAGTTCAGGGACAGCTCCCACTGTCCCAGGCTGCTCCAATCCCAGTGTCCAACCTGGTCTTGGGCATTCCCAGAGATCCAGGGGCAGCCACAGCAAATCTGAGAATTCCATTCCAGGGCCTCCCTGCCCTCCCAGCCAGGAATTCCTTCCCAAGATCCCACCTCACCCATTCCCTCCCCCCACTTGCAGCATCCCAGCATCCCCCACCTTTCTCCCGGGATAACTTCAAGGTTGGATTCTGTTTCCCACGTCAGTCCCGGCTTTGTGACGTGGCTCCTCTGCCAGGTGGAGCAGGAGACAGAGCCAAAGGTCAGGGGCTGGATTTACCGGGACACTTCCCGGCCTTCCCGCTGGGAATTCCCTCTCCTGCCCCTGACTGCGGGGGACAATTCCCAGTGCTGCCAGGGCTAATTCAGATCCAAGGAGCCTCTAGCAGGGTGGGTTGGAAAAACCTCCTGGAGAAAGGAGCAGTGGCACCGTGAGCACCTTGGAGGGGCCAAACCCCCAAATTCCAGCAGTGCTGCTGTTCCAGACACCTGGGAAAGGGCAGGAATGGGGTGCAGGAGTTTCCTGTCTGGTGTTCCAATACTGGAGCCAAGCTGGGAATGTTCCCCTGGAGAAGGGCAAAATGCAGGGAATGCTGAGAGTCCCTGCAGGGGCTCCAGGAGAGCTGGAGAGGGACTGGGGCCAAGGGCTGCAGGGCCAGGAGCCAGGGAATGGCTTCCAGTGGGAAAGGGGAGATTGGGCTGGGATCTTGGCAAGGAATTCCTGCCTGGGCTGCAATTCCCAGATTTCCCATGGCTGCCCCTGGATCCCTGGGAATGCCCAAGGCCAGGCTGGACAGTGGGGCTGGGATCTGGGAGCTGTCCCTGCCCTTTGGATGGGGTGGGAATGGGATTTGAGGTCTCTTCCCACCCAAACTATTTTGGGATTCTGGGATTCTGGGAGCTGTGCTGTGCCGAGGAGCCCCTGTGTGGAAATCCAGGGATCTTTGGAAGTGTCTCCTTCTTAAACCCATTCCCAGTGCCCTCATTTCACTCCTGCAATTTTCCCAGTTTTCTTTTAAGATCCCTTCCAACCCAAGCCATTCCATGGTTCTGTAATTTTGTCTAAAAGCCCGGAAAGGGCTGAGAGGGGAATTTTGGGGGATTTGATTTGGGGTTTCACCGCTGCAGATCTTTTCCCCTGGACTCACATTCGAATCCCCAGCGCTGAGGTGGGGCTGCCATGGGTGGCTCTTCCTTGGGCTGCACCGGCCCCTCCAGGATGGGAGGCCGAGGAATGTGGAATTTGCTGGTGTTAATCCACCTTTCCTCCTAAAACATGGATAAAAAAGGCCAAAATTGGCTTATTTTGATGTATTTAAAACACGTGAGCACTGCACAGCTGCTCAGGGATGAGGCAGGGGAGAGTTGGGAAGGAGGATGAGGAGAATCCCTGATTTTCTTTCCATGGAGCATCTTGGAAATTCCTCTTTCCCTTTCACTTCACAGCTCCACGGAGGTGGATGACATGATCAGAAAATCCACAAACCTGCTGCTGACCCGGACCCTGAGCAACTGTTTACAGAACGTGATCAAGAGGAAAAACGTTGGACTGACAGAGGTGGGATGTGGATTCCCGTGGGAATGGAGGGCCAGGAGCCAGGGAATGGCTTCCAGTGGGAAAGGGGAGATTGGGCTGGGATCTTGGCAAGGAATTCCTGCCTGGGCTGCAATTCCCAGATTTGCTCTGGCTGCCCCTGGATCCCTGGGAATGCCCAAGGCCAGGTTGGGCATTGGATCCACATGGGATCGCGGGAAGTGTTGGAGATGGAATTAGATCATCTTTGAGGTCCCTTCCAAGCCAAACCATTTCTGGATTGTGGGATTCCAGGGCAGGGTGACAGGAGGTCCCTTGGAGCTCCTTCAAGCACCTTTGGAGGTGCTGGTTTGGAGCATTCCATGAAATATTGGGATATGAAATACGAAAACAATGGAACTGTTGTTGGACAAAGCAGGGAACTTTGGATTGTGGCAAAGTGAAGAGGTTTCTTTGCTTTCGGCTGTGAATTTTGCTCTCTTCATTTTTTGGAACTGAGTAAAAGTCAGAGGACTTCAGGGAGGGCCAGGGAAGATCCAAGGTGGAAATGTGAGGGAATGGGGCAGCAATCCTCGTTTCCAGGCGATGTTTGAGTGGGTTCAGCACATTGCTGTGGCACAAACCCTAATGTGGGATTTTCTCGGTGCTCCATCCTTTTCTCTCTACAAAATCAGGTTTCTGATGATTTTAATCCATGTAAATCTGCAGGTCCCCAGGGCAGGTCTGACCTCTGTGTGCTGGTATTGACCAAGAAATTATTAATTGCTTAATTAATTATTGCTGCCTTGGATCACGTCAACCGTGGCTTTCCCTTCCCAACTTTTCCTTTCTCTCAGACATCTCACAGCTCCTCTGGACACCCTGTTCCAGTTCTGCACCTTTTCCAGTGTCTCTTTTCCTTCCCAGTGTCCAGGCTGAACCTCCCGAGGTGTCACCACCACCTTTCTGACACCACCAGCGCCAGTGCTGGGACCTTCGTGGTGTCACTCCGCAATTTCTGCGCCTGCTCCTCCGAAATCGCTGATGAATCCAATCTCCCTCAGATTTGGGAGCGTTTCCAAACCCTTCCTGCACGGGAGGTGGCTCCAGACAGCCCCGCCACGCTCCAGCAGTGAAATGACACCAACCCAGGGCGTTCTGCTGCCCTGGGGGCTGGCAGAGATCTGCCCACCCCACACCTACCAGAGGAACCTCCTGGTTCCTTTGTTCAGGGCCCGTGTGATGCTGCTCGGTGTCACTCAAGTTTGGGTTCTTTTTCGGGTTCAGCGGCAGCCAGGAGCCTCCTGATGTGTCCTGGCAGTTTTTTGGGGAGCCCTGAGTGACAGCTCAATGTAGGAAAGTCCTTCCAAAAAAATAAAATCGCCTCCCGTGGTATTAGTGGCTGTCATGGGAAATGCCTCCCCCCCAAAATTATCTTGGATTTAGATGTTGTTAAAGGGGGAGAGACTGGAGCCTGTATCAAAGCTCGGGGTGTTTGCACAGCGTCAGCTTTTCACGCCAGGATTCCATGGAATTGGCATCCCTTCACCTGGCAGCGGGGCTGAAACCCTTCCTTGCCTTCCCAGCTCGTACAGATCATCATCAACACCACCCACCTGGAGAAATCCTGCAAGTTCCTGGAGGAGTTCATCACCAACATCACCAACGTCCTCCCCGAAACCGTCCACACCACCAAGCTCTATGGGACCACCACCTTCAAGGTGAGCGGGGCGGGGGCTCCACGCCCCGGAGGGATCTGCTGGGCTGAGCCCAAGGATAATTCGGGCCTATTTTGGGAAGGTTGCGCCACGGCTTTGGGTTTGTCCTCTGGAGCGTTGCTCCTGTCGAGATCATGGGAGGTTTTCTCCTTAGCTTACAGCCCTAATTAGCTGAAGGATTAAGGAGATTTTAAACTAAAGCCCGGTAATTTATTTCTTATTTAAATAAATCCTCACTGTGCTGTTGGACTGCTGTGTCATGGACACCAGGCTCCTCTTCCACCCAGAATTTGTATTTCTCCATCTTTCCACTCCTTTTTTGCATTATCCCCTAAAAATCGGGGCTGACAGAAACTCCCAGATTTTCCAGCCTTTAAATCCCGCTCCAGGAGCGTTCATCCCGATGCTTTATGTGGGATCTGGCTGGGTTGAGTGGGGTGTCTGAGTTGTGTCCCGTGGAGATCCAGAGGTGGGAACAGCAGGAATCGGTTTGGTGAGGCTTTGCCTCGGGGTAACCCAGGCTGGTGTTCCCAGGGAAGTCCATCCTGGAATTTTCCACCTGTTTGCCCTTCCTCTGGCAGGGAGGCTCCTGAACCCCAGCCCTGCCCTGCGTTTGGTGGGGTTTCCATGGGGAATGTTCCTCTCCCGTCTCAGGATCACGGGATGTTCGGAGCTGTAGGGACCCACAAGGATCATCAGCTCCTGCACGGCCCACCCAGGGCCTGAACCACAACCTCGGTGTCACCAGCACCAGGTTCCCACCACTGCAGCCAATCTCTGCTCCAGCCCTTCTGGAGCTGCCCTCAGGTCACAGCAGGGGCAGGATCCAGCTCTGTCCTGCCCACCACCACCTGCTGGTCCTGTCCCACCAGCTGCAGCCTGCAGCAGCCTCGTGGTTGCCTCCTTGAGCTGTGGGGTTGTGTCACCTCCTGGCCTAAAGGTTGGGCTAAGCTTCTGCCCCATTAGAGGGTGGTGAGGAGCCCCCATCCCATGTGGGATTTCAGTAGGGTGGAGCTCCCATCCCGTGGGGGATTTCAGTGGTGAGGAGCCCCCATCCCATGTGGGATTTTGCTTGTGAGGAGCTCCCATCCCACATGGGGTCTCAATGGTGAGGAGCCCCCATCCCATGTGGGATTTCAGTGATGAGGAGCCCCCATCCCATGTGGGATTTCAGTAGGGTGGAGCCCCCATCCCATGTGGGATCTCAGAGGTGTGGAGCCCCCATCCCATGTAGGTTTTTGCTTGTGAGGAGCCCCCATTCCACACCTTGGTCTCATTCCCAGGACGCCCGGCACGCCGCCGAGGAGGAGATCTACACCAACCTCAACCAGAAGATCGACCAGTTCCTGCAGCTGGCAGACTACGACTGGATGGCCCTGGAGCCGGGCAGCCGGGCCAGCGACTACCTGGTGGATCTCATCGGCTTCCT